ATATTTGGAAAATGAGAGATGTTTTTGTTGATAAATAAGAGTTTTCGTTCTTAGTTCTTATTCTATTTAATTTTTTTAGTACTGTTCTGCTTTTTCAGAAGGTTTGTAGTTTGAAATATGAGGGTTTTTATAGCAACTTTTTCGTCAATTTTTGGTCGTATCTAAGCATAGAAATTTTGTTTCTCCTTTTTTTTGCTTTAAAGTTTCATTTTAAAATCATCATACATACGCATAGGATGCGTTATGCACCATTTATGTTCGCTGATCAACTTTCTTAATTTTCCTCCCAATAGTTTTCGGGTTTTTTTTTTGAAAAATAAAAAAAACTTTTTTCATTTCAGATATTTTTCTGCTTTCCACTTTTCCTTTTTATTCTTTTTTTCTAGTCTTCTATTCCCAAAAAAAACAGCAACAATAACAACGAAAACAACAGCAACGACAGCAACAATAGCAATAGCAACAACAATAAAAAAAACTTGCGTTTGTAGTTTTTTGGAGGAGGGATTCAACGAAAAATGCAAAGATCCACGGAAAAACTGGAAACAAAATCAAAAACAAAACTACAATCCGCCTTTATTCAGCTGCACATATCAAATATGACATAAGGTTGAGTAGAGTCAGGCAAAAAGAAAAGACTGGAAAGGAAATATGGGAAAAAAATGAAGAAGGAATAAGAGGGAAAATTAAAGCCGGAGAAAAGCACTGAAGTAGAAAAGTGTTCAAAATAGGAAACAAATATTTATGAGTCATCATTCACATCAACTTAAGGTATTCCATCTCCCACTCTTCGTCTCGTCTCGTCTCGTCATCGTTATCCATCAGTCACAATTAATTGCTGTTCTTTTGCCGTCACCGATTGTGCACAAAAATCAGACACAGACTTCAGACACAGAGACACAGAAATGAGCTTTAGAACAATCGGGCCGGTTGTATGGATACACTTCAGTTGGGCTTATTCTTGTTGATTATCTACATCTGTTCATTGTCAGCTTGGATAGTCGTAATTTTTCCAAAGTACGTTAAAACTGCTTTTTCCTGAATCGACCAAAGAATCTTCCGTCATTGTAATCATCGTAATCATCATCACCACCACCATCATCATCATCATCATCATCATCGTCGCTCTTATTGTTGTCGTTGTTATTGTTGTTGTTGTTGTTGACGATGTTTGCTTGGTTGTCGTTTCTTTTTTTCCGTATAATTCCTTGTTTTTGCTCTATTGCTCTTCACATTTTTACTCTATTCAAAAATCTATACAAACAAGTTTTTTTTCCTTCTGAGTATACATACGTTTTTTCATCTAAATTGACATTTTCACTTTATTCATTAATTTTTTTTTGACTTTTTTAAAAATAATTTTATTTTATTTTTGACTAAGATGTTTAACTGCTGTAAATGTAACTAAAGTTTTCTCTTTTTTTTTGATTTTTTTTAGCAATCAAACACATGCACACAGTAATTTGCAAAACAATGGGATGCAAAGGAAAAATAGGAAAGAAAAACATAAGAATGAAGAAATATGAGTGTGGTAGAAGCTTAGAAATTTTAATCTTCTTTTAACTCACTGCTAATTTTTTTGACAAATAAAGGTATAAATTTCGCAAAATGTATGTTGATCGATATGTGAGTGTGTGTGTGTTTGCAACTCTGAGCACAGTAATTACCAATTAGAAATGGCTTCTTAGTTACTGTTGATTATTATATTTACAACACTGAGCAACAGCCTATAATTGTTTTTTTTCTTTTAATTCTAGATTATTCTTAATGGATGACCAAAGACACACTGCACCGTAATTTTTTTTTCTTTAGTGAAGACTAAAAGTTACGGTTTTCAAACTTCAAATTTCTGACGAAAAAAATAGAGAAAGACAAAAATTTTTGATGAACATAAAATAATGATAACTAAAGTATTCTTACCATCATTAGAAAAAGTAATACTATAAGATAGATAAAAAATATCTTTTTAAATGTAATATCAGTTTTATATATTTTATGGTTTTAATAAATTTCTTGATTTACGATGTGAATGCTGTAATTTTAGATAGTAATTTAACGGTTGTAGAAGGCAGAAAGCAATCATATAGTTTTTAATGGGGTTGAACCTAGAATGAGGTGACTGTTTTGGTCATCAGGTTCTAATTCATAAAAACATGCGCAGCTGTTTTGTCTTTATAAGCGTTTTTTTCTCATTATTAGCTTTGCCATCGATCGCCGTTTTTTTCTTTCTTCTTTTAATCAACTGAAATACATTGTATTTTTGAAATGTGAAAACCTGGATAAAAATTCTTCTGGAAGAAATGACTGAGTGAAGATTGGAAGAAAGGAAGGAAGGGAGGAGAACAAAGTGAGGGCAAAGGAGGGAGGGAGGGAGCAAGTGAGAACAGTTTTGTCGCTGAGTGCGAACAAGATGCTGAGCAGAGGGTGAAAAGAGACCGAGGAAAAGAAGGAGAATTGAGGAGAAGATGGAGGGGAAATGAAGGAGTAGCTGTTGAGAAGATGAGAAACGGTTGTTACGTCACATTTAAGCAAAATACTTGCTATCCACTTTTTAACTTAAAATTGTTGTAGTACTATAGTGACTGTTAGTTGACATCTGTGAACAGAAGGTAACAGAAGTAATAAAATTATTATCCAATCGAGTGAAAGATAGATTTTTTGAAGTTGTAGGCGACATGCAACAGTATATTTGCTGGTAATGTTTGTTGTCGTTAAAAGTATGCAAATTGGTACCGCTTTCTTTTTGTTTGGTCTTTAAAAGTTGGTGAACAAAAGAAAACAACTAAGCAATAAGTATAAGAGCAATGGTTCGTTAGATTGGTATTATTATTATCATTTTTTTCTTTCTGGCGTCTAGAAAATGACTGAATAATCTTTACAGTATTTAGTAGTTTTTAAATGAACTTTTGAAATAAAGAAAATTGTGGCAACTACCTGTTGATTAGTTTTTTTCTTGTCTGTTCTTTTTTTCTTCTTTTTATTTGTTCTTCTTTTTTTTGGCAGAAGAGGTAAGGGAAAGCGTGAGATTGGAAATTTTAAAAGTGCATCTTGATTTGGTGAATGGATAAATGAAAAGAATAATTAAACAGAGTTTTATTTCTTCATGAAGTGTTATTCAGGCTGAAAAAAAAAGAAAGAATTTTTTACTGGAAAAAAGGGGTTGTTTTGTTGTTTTGTGCAACGTTTGTTGGGTGGTTGATGAGCATCAAGTTTACTAGTAGATAGCAGAATTTTTTAAGATTACAGTTCGTATAAATTGCAGCGGAAGGAGGAGAAGAGGGAAAACTAAAGAAAAAAATTGTCAAATGAATAAAAAAAAAAGATTTTTCGCTGCATTCTACAGAACTGTGACTTATATTGAGAAAAGAGAGGAAGAGTAAAGTTAAGGTGTTCTTTTATTTCTCAAACTTTTTTTTTCACTTTTATTTTTTAAAACATAGATCAGTGTGTTTAACTTATGACTAGATGTTTTTTTGTTGTATTTTCATCGCTAACCAGTCCTTACTTGAAATTTCAAGAAAAAAATAGTAATAATAAAAATAGTTTCTCATTTGTTCCTTTTTGTTTTTGCTTTCTTATTTGAGTATTGAAAAATGCGCATTTTTTTTTTTTTTTGCACTGCTGCGTATATATATTTTTGAAGAACAAATGTACCATTTTTTTTCAACAAATTTATGTTCGGATCTTTTTTTTTTTTTGCTTCTTTCTTTGTCAGAACTGTTTGTGCAACAATTTTACAATGCCTGTTGATATTCGAGGATATGGGCATTTGAATATAGCCGGTTGGTTGCATATTTATCCGAGAAAAAAAGCAAACAGTATGTTTTTATTAGTTTTTTTTTAATAACGAAATAAAAAAAGCTTTCTCAAAATTTGTTTTGAGTGATAAATCGTAGGCAGAGAAAAAATTTTTTTTTTGCTTGAATCTTTGATCTGATTTATTGTTGCATGCATTTTTTTTTTTGCTCCTTCTTTTCGCATGCTTCTGCTTTCTGTTGGTTTTCCAATTGTAACACTTGTTTAAATCTCAAAGGGTCTGCTAAACAGCTAAAGCGGCATCGGCTACCACAGCCATAGCCAACAACAGCAGTGGCAGCAGCACTAACAAACAACAATAACGGCAAGCATCAATTAACAATAAATTAATTTTGCTATTTTTTTTTTTTGCTCAAATTTAAATTAGGTAGGAAACCGCATAAAAATCATTTTTTATATGATGACAGGTGTTTCTTTTTGTTTTTGAAAATAAAACAACTAAGAAGAACAGTACATAGCACAACGAACATGTTTTTTTGAGTATATATTAAAATATATATATATATATATATATATATATATA